GCCGGTGCTCGCAGTGATAGTTCGACGCATACTAGTGACCAGCTTACTGCATGCGACAGACTCATCAACAGGGCATGCCATTAGTCATGCCCTATTAACTCCGTATAATTGTGACATCAACGGCTAAGTGCCAACGACGCCGCAAATTGTGCTCCTGGGCGAGGCCATTGAAGCTGGCACAGCCCCGCCCCTGAACAGCACTGAAGGCACCTCGGGGATTCCCCTCGTTTGGATCAACAAGCAGTATTAGGCACGACGAACAGGAAAAGGCCAGCCAGTGAAAGTGAAGACCATCCTGACAAAATATTACACTCAAACTTCTAGGGTGAACAACCTAATCAAAGCAGTTATCTTTAACATAGCATCTCAGTCCCAAAAGATTCAATACATCAACCGATGCAGGCACCATTCTCGACGACGTAGATAGAAATACCTAAATGAAATTGCCCCGCGTTTCATAGACTTACCAAAAAATCTTTATTATAAGTCCGAAATCAAGAAAATATTTTCTCACCATAATTTTTACAAAATATTTATCAAATTGGAACAGTAATCTCTTGAGATGCTCTATAAGTCTCCTCGCCCAAATAAAACTAAATACATGTATGTTAGCATTACATTTGTATAAGTAAAAAATGAATGTAAAGTGGACTGAACTGACATACGGTATTGGATTTGGGTTTTGAATTTATACTGTCACGCACTAACTTTGTAAGAAGAAGAAGTATTGTAATCGTGTATTCGGAAAATAGAGAATTTTCGACGCAAAAACTCCAGGCCTTAGTAACGAACTAGTGGGACTTCAATATCACATGCTTTCTGGCATTATTTCTAAAATTTGCTATTTTCGAAAATCCAGGGAGTTTAACGAAAATGAGACCTATGCCATTTTTTCAAGCGTTTCTTGTTCTATCCGGGGAAAATGTTATTACACAAAAATTGGAGAGGTTTTTGTGATATTTTAAAAATAATTTGAATTAACTTCAGGAAAAAATTGCTTGAAACTGAAAAAACTGGTGTTTTAGAACAGATTTAATTTCTAACAAAATCTCTTCCTTCAATATTGCATTCAATGTTGCAGTTAATACTTTATTAATTGATTTTTTAAATACATCTACGCGGAGTCGCCACATCTTCAGTCGCCTCATTTGAAGACGAGGCGACTCCCCGTCTCGAAGCGCACCGTTAACAGGTTTTTAATAAAAAACAATTATAAACATGAATGGCTTTCAATTAAATAAATATTTTATTCAAAAACTAGTCAGTAAAAAACAAAGGAGTGTATTTAAAAAAGTCTGAATACATAAAAAGTCATATAATTTTCAAATTATTGTAAAGCATTACCTTCTTGCAAGTTTCCAAAGTACAGAGTTCGCCGAAAATGGGACCAACACCACTTTTTATACATACGAGTAGAAAATTTAAAGAAAAAATGGAGCGTTTTTGAGAAAAACATGTTTAAAAACGGTGTAAATTTGACGCAATGTTACACAAAAAATACTAATGTTTTCTAAAAATCATAGATAACTTTATTTGACGATCAATCATCAAGGTCTTTAATGAATAAATTTCATTCAGGAAACAAACTCCTTCTTGAATTCAATGAATTTTGTAGAAAGATGCCAAAATCAAATTCCGAACTTTTGCAATTCTTGAAATATAGGGGATTTCAACAAAATGCGTCCCGCGGCTAATTTATATCCGGCACTTGCACAACACGAAGACAAAGCTTAATCAAATAATTTACCGCCATTTTTGAAAGAAAAAATTGAAGATGTAAATATGTTCATGTTAAGCGCGCCCCAAAACCAATATATCCATTTCAAACTTAGATCGCCTCGACCGCCTTTTTCAATTCATTGAGAAATATCAATTTTATAGAAAAAATCGTCGGAATTGTTTAGGCACTACCGTTGTCTACAGACTGGCGTTTTGCTGTCAATCTTTTTTTGGTACCAAGGTTCCACCAAACTTGAATTATGACTGTACAACGTGCTATAGGAAGTAATTTACTACATTTAGGAACAGGATTTATCCCAGCGACACAATATCGAACGGACTTCGCCCTCCATCCCGATGTCGTTCTTTTGTGGAAAGTTGGTTATCTTGTGCCGAGAGTTGAAACTTGCCCAAGTGATTAGAAATATTAAATGATTGCTTCGTCTATTAACTCAGCTGATTCTGGAACTGCTAACATGGGAGTTATGTATTCTTCTGAGTACAGGGAAGATATTACCCCGGTTTCTCCCAACCTGCAACATGAATCAGGCGCAACGTCGACGTTACATCTACTGAGGCCTTCCCCTGCAAGGAACAAGCTGTTGATATCGAGTCCCAAGTTGGATCAATCTTCAAAGACTACATTGTTAAACTAGCAACCATCATTGACCCAGCGATATAAGGTTCGTTTCGAAAATACCTAATAACAGAAAATGTGAGTTTCTAAATAGAAGATCCTTCATCAAAAAAGTCAAAGAGATCATTATATTAAACGCTTGTCCCATAATACTACATGACATACATGTAAATAAACTCACCAAAATGAATCGGAAATTTATTCAAAAATTTCGCCTTAAAGGACCAATACTTGACCACGACGTATTCCATTTTATGAATTTTAGGAGACAAATATATAACCCCTGGATACGTAAACCAACCCCCTATAACCACAATATTACATGAGGAATATTACAGAATATTCCTCTGAAGTGTCTATAGGACTTGTTTTTTGAGCCAAACCACCAGGCATCTTGCAAGATAATGCTCCACAAACCTTAGTTAAACGAAGATACTGTTCCTAATGAAGTAAAAAAAGCCCTACAACCCACCGCATCATCCTCTTCAATCTGTTGAAGCACGTAACTAATCTGAAGAACCTACTGAGAACCATTTAAACTTTCCAGGTCTACAAAAAAGAGCTTAACATTCATTCTTTTTATCTCAGAAAAAGAAAATGACAAACTTCAAAGCGGTGATAGTGAGTTCACAAACCCTACCAAAAAGAAGAAACAAGAAAAAAGTGAAGTCAACAACCTACACGATAATGCTCACATCAAAAAAGTGGACGAGCCTATTGCACCCATTAACGATACAACCATTACTAATAATCCTAAAAAGTTTCCTGTTTGTAAAAAAGAAACAACTGGAAAATGTTCGATTTTGTGATCCGTGATTGAATGATTACTTAGTGATTTCGGTACGCCAACTGCGAAGGTCATTAATCCCGTAATTACAGTTAATGTTTTATTGTGGTAGGTAGCAGTGGTCTTTCACCACTGGATGGCGAGATTCGACGTCGGCTTGCAGGAGGTTCCCCCAAAGTATCTCCCTCTAGAGAGGCACCGCCCCAACCGGGTCACACTCTAAGTTCTGGTCTTCCAACTGTGTGGTAATGTCGTGCATGTATGTATGTATGTAAGGGGTGAGGATAAAACAATAAAGAGAAAGGAAAGACCGCGCGCGGTTCGTGGCCCTCTGTTGGGGTACTGCTCCGGCATACGCCTGGAGCTGAACGGATTGCATAGCATTAATATTATTAATGCTTTGCGATCGGATGCTAATATTTACGAAGAGATAATTTAAGTGACATAAAACAAAAGGCTGGAAACTCTAATGGGAAAGAGAATACTGAAAAACCTAGGGAATTTTCCTGGATTTTCAAACTATACCTAAATTTACATGTTGTATTTTGTCTTTATTTTATTTTCATTTGTATCCATTTTAACATTTCTAGATTTTTGAATGTAATTGATGATTTGAAACGCTAAGAAACAAATTTAAAAAAGAAATATGAACTTGTGCGCAATGGGTGGAACGAGAAATACCAACACGGGAGTGGACTAAGTGGCAGTAGTGAAGAGGCGCTTATGAGAAGAAGTGGTGGTAGGTGACGAGAGTAAGGAACGCAGAATTAAAGAATGATTTAAATAGAGACTGTTGTTATTACTAGAGTTAATGTTGTATTTTAAACATATAACCGTAAGAAATATTGAATTTAGTTTGTCTATATAGGAAGGCAATATTAGAAACCAATACTGTGGTTATCGAGAGCACGTGAAAAGATAAATAAGCGCTGGAATCTAATGGAATGAGTTCTTCTCCAAGTAAGAAAAATCTTCATACGCGAAGTGTACCAAATCCACGGTCGACAGTTCCGTAAATTACCGGGACGGTGGGATATCCGGGGGCCGCACGGGAGCGCGTGCAAAGGTCACGGCAGTAAATAACGGCGTGCGCGTTGGCGGGCGGGCGTTTTGGGTAAGGCGGGCGAGGAGGGCGAGGGGGCCGGCGGCAGCCGGCCTCTGTCCAATTGCGCCCGCGCACCCGCCGCCGCTAATTATCCCATTGGCGCGACACGAACCCATTACCCGCAGACGAGACGGACTTTTATGTAAACGACGCGTCGAGAATAACGCACGACGCCCTGACGTGCGGCTGTCTCAGCCGGCGCAGGCGTGGTGGATGCTTGGGCGGCTAATCTCGTTAGCTCGCGGCTCGTAAATAATCTTTTCATTTAATTTCGTCCGCTCTTCCCCCGCGGCAGAGTACAGCCGTCTTGCTGACCAGTGGGACGAGTAGAGGAGAACGGAAGACTATTAGAAAGTTTATTCCATGATCAAATGCATTCTCGCTCCACCAGAGGAAATGGCAAAATTGTTTTCACCCCAAGTTTGACATTTCTACATAGCTTTTACTTCCTTCTTTCCTTCCTTCCTATACTTCCTAGCTACACGAGCTCTTGGTCGTCTAGAAAAATATATCTAAATTAATAGTGCTAAAACAGCAAATCTTTTGTCGCATTTGAGCCATTTCTTAAACGTCCTTTGTGAAAATAAAAAATGGAGCAGTGTTTGAGAACACGTGTTATTTCTAAACTCCATTAACTTATCGTGTTATTTAGTGCAATAATTTGAAGCGCTTGTACTCACAAATGCAATAATTTGGCGTTGCAGATGCGAGGCGTCTGGTACGTGGTGCAGGTGGCGGAGCACCTCCCGCAGGGGCCCACGCGCGCCACCGCCTCCACCACCGCCTGCCCCAAGATCGACTTGGGGCCCGCGTGGGCGGCCGCGCCCGACGTGCGCATGCGCCTGCGCTGGCACGAGAACCACCACCACGTGAGCTACAACCTGCGCCTGCCCGAGCCCGAAACCCACAAGGGCTACTGGCTCGTCGACCAGCCGCAGAACGGTGAGTCACGTCTCAGGCAGTTAGCTGAGCGGAGAGGTGCGGACCGACAGATTCAGTTTACAAACGAGTGCTTCAGTACCAGAGCTGCCTAACACACAAACTCTATTCCTAGGAAGTATGCCTCTCAATGAAGCTGTAATTCTTTATCGTTGCAAATGAATGACTGCATGCATGAATGCATTGGCTCAGTTTGAGCTAATAAACCATTCATTACCTCACAAGGATTAAAACGTTTGGAACAACTGATAGTTCAAAGCCATGCTGCACAGGAAATGTGCCTGCACAACCTAGTGGGTTAGGCATCTCTGGCACTGATCCACTCAAATCTTAAGTTGTGAAAATGTAGGTAAGCAAAATGGTCAAGCAATCTCAGAGAATTCATGAGAAAAGACAAATTATTTAGTGCAGGTATGGTGGTGGAATAACGGTTTTCATGAAACGAGAATTAAACCCACTACTTCATATCACAAGTCTTGCCTGTGACAGTCAACAGGCCTAGTATATTCACGCGAGAATTGAGACTTATTTATGAACGTAACGATACAGCAACTATTTTCGTCGGAAACGATATTTTATTTAGGACTAGTGATAAAAGTGCAGCAAATCCACTAAATATAATGATCATCTTCACGGTCTACGTCTAACGGCTTGTTCCGGTTCAGTGGTCCACCGTTCTCTTGGTCTCCCGGGATCTCGTTTTCCAAACAGACGATTTTCCATGCCTTTTGAGGAAGTCGTTGCTCCTCCATTCTATATAGATGTTGGGTACAATTTATTTTATACTTGTGGATTTGATCGAGGACTCAAACAACTTTCAGTTATTTTCAAATATTTTAATTTCTTTCGCGATCAGTTTTCGTACAACCTTTTACTGCCATCAGAAACTTCATATTTGACGCCTGTATTCTGCTCATCTCTCATTGTTTCGAAACCCAGCATTCGCTACCGTATATCAGGGTTGGTATTGCCATTGTCTTCTAAAAGTTCAACTGTGTTTCTTTTCGGGTTTTCTTACCAAGTGTTCTTCTTATGGATCCACACATTACCTGGAACCGCGAGAGTTTCTTTTCTACATCTCTGTCGTAGTTGTATGAAACATTGTTTCGTAGGTAATTAAAATTGCTTACTTGATTCAGAACCTGGTTGTGTACCACTATATCTTTGATCTTACTCCTTATTTTCCGCAAAATGCCATCATTTGGGTTTTAGATGTGGATATTTCACAGTTATAAATCTAGCTATTTTTCTGAGCTTGTAGATATTGAGCTGAAGTTTATATTCTGCTTCAGCAATCAAAACTTGATAATCTGCTTATTAGATAGAATTTATAAAACAGTTTTCTGCAATCTCAATACCACAAGAGGCATAACAGTTTCATTCGTTCAGCATTTCATCTATGTATAGATTAACTCCAAGGTTTATATTCAGAAACGTGTTGCCGATTTTGAAACTAGTGTCGATACAAACTATTTTTCCAGCATACAGGTTTTTAATTACTTGAATGAGATTGTAAGGTATCCCCTTCTTTATTAAAATGTTCCACAGCAGTGGACGTCTAACTTTGTCAAATGCTTTCACATAGTCAATAAAGGCTATGAGTGTTTCAATATTGTATTCTCTCCTTCTTTCTATTAGTATTTTGAGTGTAAATACGCTATCTCAAGAAGATCGTCCTTTTTTAAACAAGTTTTGTTGTTCACTGATAATGGTGTCAGCTATTTGTTTCAATCTTTTGGAGAGTATTCTAGCGTATGCTTTATAACCATCAGTTAGAAAAATTATTCGTCTATAATTGCCACAGACAAAAATAAAACCTCACAAAAAAACTAAATAAAATGACAGCCTTAGGTAGTCAAGATTAGGAAAGCAGGAGTCTTCTAGGCGGTCTCTGCTCGTATGGTCACGAGTTGGATTTTTGATTCATAGATTAGTGATTGCGGGCGCGTCAACGGCTAAGGTCATTAGTCCCGAAAATGGTGTGCGTGTTTCTCTGCTCGAGCGATGGTTGAGGTCTTCCCCCGCGAGAACTTTCAGAGAAGCACCTCCCACCAGCGTAGCACCGCCCCAGCCGGATCAGGCTTTCGCTCTCGTCTGGTCTCCGGGATGTGAGTTAGTGTATGGCGTGTAAGTATGTGCGCAGGTAAGAGGCGAGGATACAACACGGAAGAGCTAGGAAAGATCGCCGGTATTCGGCTGGTATGGATCGGAGAAACCACGGAAAACTACAAATCATGAATCATGACAGCCGGCCGCTAGTATTCTCCTCCAGACAGGGACCAATATATATATATATATATATATATATATATATATATATATATATATATATATTATAGTGTCGAAAATCCTGCTGGCCGCCGGGGACACGAATCCATGACCTCCCGCATGCAACAGGGACTCCAAGACATCAGTTGATGCCCTGAGCCATCACTCATCGTGGGTTTGAATCCCCCGCCTCGGGTAGAAATGTTTGCTTGTGTGTTGTAGAGTAGTAGGGCCTTCCTCTTTTCAACTCCCGTTCTTCCATAGTCTGAGTGGTGCCGCAGCTTGGAGCATTGGCGCCCAAGTACGAGTTACATACGAGCTATGAGTTCAAAGCCCGCGTAATCCATTCATGTTGCATGTTGTGACTTGGTAAATCAAAGCCTTCCATCCTCTAAATTCACTTCTTCCCCTTTCCATAAAATGATAGACCCTAAACCCACTTTCCAAAGCCCCAGATAGTCCAAGAGAGTGTCAACTATGACTGACGGTTATGAGCATAAGTACACAATTCGTACAAGAGTCAATTACAAATTACGTTTATGGTCTAATATGACTCCCAGGCTAAACTTCACGGCCGGCGCAACACATGGTGGATGGAAAGGAACTGCGGAACGTGCAACTACACAAGAAATCTGCTTCTTGTACGCCTTTAGGCGGACCCGCCCAGAAATCCGCCTTTAGGCGGTCGGACGCTGGTGGAAGCCAAAGATAGGGAAACTCTAAAATTCAGGTACCTTCCCGGAACATTTATCGGCTAAGGTAGTTCCTGAGACTCAGGATAAGACGTCCTCTCATGATCTTCTCCCCCATACGTCCCATACAGTTTTTATTGTTTCTTTGACTAAATAAATCTAAGCCGCCTTTTCCCTTTAAGCATCCTTATTGACCTGTCCCTTTACCACTTTAAAAGATAAATAGTGTGTACATTTATTATTATTTTCAGTTCTTTGTTTTTACATATTCAGCTGTGCCTTTGCATTTTTTCCACTTGCAGAAAATGGAAGTTTATATTAGTTACATAGAAATGTGTTTCTTAGTTGCATTAAGGAGTAATTGAAATGGGATCTAATGAGGTAGAAGGTGAGACCGTAGCACCTCATTTTGAATTTGACTTGTATGTTCCAGACGTTTTTTATAGAAGCCAAGAATCATTTAAAACCAATCATAAAGCATAAGAAAAGGCTTAGTTGCCAGATGAATGACCTTGCTTATATTTCTAAGTATTGAGGACAAAATTGATTCTTTTCATTTTTCGACATTTTATCAGCCTTCGTAATGTACCCAATTAGTAGTATTTTATAATAGAAGAATGATTCATAAATGTGTAAAATAAAAATACAAAATACTTCATCGTTAACGCATACCAGCCATTGAAAGTATTTCATTCAAATTTTCGATACCAAACTAATTCACTGAGCTAATAACGATGCAAATACACGTATTGGCGAAACATGGAAATGCTAAATACAGATACTCCCAATATGTTTGGATTACGAGTGCTTGATTATATTCAAGAGACACGATCAAGGTTTTACCAAATAAAAATCAAGAGCAATACTAAATGCGGCGAGTATGAATTCATAGTAAATGTGCAGTGTGATGCACATTTTGAACAGTACAGTAATTTTTCATCTCAAGCTAATTTCCATATTAAAAACTCCAACAGTAATCAGAGTTCTTAAGTCAGTAATACCCTTTTTGAACTCATGGAAAAACCCTCTCCCTTCAAACCTTTTTGAATTCGGAAATGACATAATCGTCTGTGAGATAGGAAAACTCCTGTGGGTAAATGGTTTTCTACAAAAATAAAAGGTTTATGTTCTTGTCCAAGAATTCTAACGGTTTTTGTTATCCACCATAAAACTGCTTCTTAACTATTCTCTTACATATGTATTTTCGGTGAGACTGCACATTCGTCGTAATTTTCAGGGAGGAATTTTCAACATAGCTGTCGTTGGATCTTTCCAGTAAGAACTTTCTGAAGAGATGCAAAAATTATAGCACGTAATGATAATAATGAGCAAATAATGATAGTAATGACAGCAATAATAGTAATGAGCAAGAAACAGAAAACACTGTGAAGTGAGATGCAGAGGAATATAGGACTCCGATAAAACCTGCTGCGACCCCGCTTTGCCCATAACAAACTCTCAAGCACTCTACGCAACACCATGCGTTCTCCCACCAGACTTGATTCTATTGTTTCAAAAATGGCGAGCCACTGGAAATACACAATTTCCTCGCGCGGAGGTTTAGTACCTAGTTCTCTCATATGAGACCAGGTGAAGACTTAGAAACTCCCGCACCGGTGCACACATTTGCGGTGTCATTCACATGGTAAGTGCTAAGATGGGAGCAGAGAGAGAGTTTTGGAGGATTGCATGGACCCCGTGATTCAACAACCAAGGTGCCCCCAGTAGGGCTCTGGTTTCGACAAGGCAGTGCCCGATTCTCAGTTATGAGTAACGGCCGGTTTCATCACCTTCACCATCACATTCACCGGTTAGAGAAGTCATCCTTAATTTTAAGACGCGTTTGAAGTTATGCTTGGCTGTTCGTAGTTCACCACCCTCTTTAAAGTAATCCTTAATGAAGTTTAACATAAAAGCATAAATGCAGTTGGTTGGCAATACAGGGCCCTGGTGGATCAGCCAGTGACCATAACCAGCCTTCTTTGTATTGGTACTGTTTTGTACTTTGGTGCAAAGAGTTCATTTTTATTGATTTTTCGTAAT